CCGAGGGGCTGCGTCGCCTGCCGGGCCTGCGGCGGGGAGGACCAGCTCGGCCCGGCCCGGCCCGGCCGCCATTGTTTGCTGCCGCTGCTTTCCCGCGGCGGAAGGCCGCCGGCGCAGGCCGCATGCGCAGCGAAGGCAGCGAGAGCCACCAGCAGCGGCCTACCTCCTTCCTCCGACTGGCTCTGCCCGTGCCGGCGTCTTGGCGGCGGCGGGGAAGGGAGGTGGGGAATGGCTCCATCTCCCGCGGCTCCTCCGTGTCCTGGCTGGCGGGAAGTAGCGAGGCGCTCGGGGAGGCGGGAGGAGCGCGGCTGCTTCCCCGTCGCCGCCGGCTCAGGCAGGCCAATGGCCGCTCCGGCTGGAGGAGCCGCCCCCGGGGAATGGCTGGGGAGGCCTGAGGTGCTCAATTGCTGAGATACTAAAAGGCCTGAGGCTCCATCCCGAAGGGCAGGGATTGGCCTTGTGCTGGTCCAGCCTCCACAAACACTGGAACAGAACAAGCCCAGAAAGGCAGACCTTTCCCCAGGTCTTTTCAGGAGTGGGGCAGCCCTGAGAGACTTCCTGCATCTCTTTTAAACTGCCCCTTGGTGCCTTTGGCCCCCTGGTGATGGGGAGGCTGTTATTGCACTTCTCACTTGCACCTTGACTGACAGGCACTTGGATTTTCTTTGAATTGTGTCAGTCTTTTCTCCCCCTCTGAAAACAAAGTGCAAACTGCCCTGCTCGTCCCTACTGAAATGCATGAACCGGTCTCCCCCAACCCCGCTAACAGCTGTAGTTACCTGAAGAAACATAGTGGTGGTTTCATGGGTGATGATGTCCTCCACTGTGTTGTTCCTTTCTGCAAAGCAAGAGATCAAGTAAAGAAGCTGCCCTCAGCAGATCGACCAGACCCGCTGACCAGCTGATGTGTGGCAGTGGGTATATAAGCAGGGGGAGGTTCAAAGAGACTCAGGCAATAAGGAGGGGGAAGGTGACTGTGGGATTGTATTGGAGTGGTGGTTGGAGAAGAAATAGTGTCCCAAAGTTTAGATCAATACCTAGAGACTTGGGATATTTTTCAGAAAATAAGCTCATTTTTAAAATTTGTTATTACAGAAGAGTGACAAACTGTGAGGCAAACAGGCAATAGAGAATACTGGTTTGTTCATTGAAGACTTTTGAGTTGTTTAAATGGAAAGGTATAATGTGGAAGGGACACCCTGGGCCATAGAGTCAAGTTGCCTCTATTTGTTATCCTGAGAAATCCCCATTGTTACCCTCAGCCCCTTACACTCTGCTACAAGGCATCAGACCACCAATACCAAGAACACCATGTGACATGCTATAGGTAGAAGCAGAGACGACCATGACACTACCTGGGAGATATGTTACAGTCTTTGCATTCTCCTTTGCCTGAGGAAGGACACATGAGCCTTAAAGCTTGCAAATTATATAAAAAAAAAAAAAAATTAAAAAAAATTGCAACTGTTTAGTTGGTCTAATAAAAAATACCACTTCTGCCACACTGGCTACTTTTACTTTTACACCAACATGGCTACAGCCTGTATCCCTGCTACTAAGTTAACCCAGAAGCAGTTGATTAATATACGCAGAAGATCCTAGGAGAAAGATCATGCCCATGCTGTGGAGAAAAGCAGTAACCCCAATGATCTGCTAATCTGGCCCAGACAGAAAGTTTTTGCTGGATTTGAATTTGGTTACTGGTATGATATTGAGTGGCAGAGCAGGACCCTCTAGCTGGGAAATTGTTTTCTCAGTGCCATCAAAAACATCAACACATCATAGTTGAAACCCCTTTGCCTTACCGGACTGGAGATTGTGACTTTTAAGTGGTTCAAGCCCCAATGGGAACTGTTTTGTTTTCGTTTAGTTTAGTTTGATTTAGAACAGGTTCCCATTAAACCAAATTAAAAGCCTCTCTTATGCTAAAAGAAGTATGTCCAAGAGCAGTGTTGCACTGTTTGACTAACCTAGTATAATATAAACTGGTGCAAATTTGTTTGTATTCAGGCCATTAAAGTAGGAAAATTATTGCTTAGAAAAACAGTGCAAATATTTGACATTCTTGCTACTTGTATGGTTGCAGAAGAGACCTTGATTTTTATCTGGTTTCTTGCAGTATATCTGCATGATTCAGTTTTACAGAGGTGGTGGGTATATGTTGGGTGTTCTTTGCAATAAGTCTGGCAGAGCAATGGCATCAGTGAATAAATTCTGATTGTACTTCATTCAGGGCTCCTGCTTAAGATGCACCTTTCCTGTATTGTTTGGTTTAGTCTCACTTTGCATGTCTTCCTTTCTGCAGCAGATTTATTCCTGCTTGCTATTAGTAAATGCTATTTTCCATATAATTTTTCCTTTTAGTGATAATGTTTCAAAATATCTTTTGAAAAGTTTCTGATATTTTCTGAGTAAAATTTTAGGGGATAATTCCACTCAAAACAGTCATAAAACTTGGGCAGCTATTTCTGTTGTGAGCATGGATCCCAGTAAAATGGCAAATGTCCACGAAACTTTTTGACTGGACTCTGCTTTTCTATGGTTAGTATATGTACTTTCTGCATAATTACTTAGTCTAGTTGCATTCTTGGTTTTTACTAATGTTATGATCTAATTTGGTACTGACAACTATGGCTTAATAGAGCTAAAAGAAATTCTAGTTAATCAAAATATTATAAACCTCCTCTCTACATTGTTTTAATGTGATGACAATGCGTGGTTTGTTGTAATAGAAGATTCCAACAGACTAATTAGAAGTGGCATACAGACTTGTGGGATATTACTTGTTTTTCTGTACTTAAGAAATCCACCCAAGCTGTTCCAGTACAATTGCATTTGCTCATGGTCCTACCTATAAACTCAAGCTTTCTGAAGATGGTCCTTCAGTACACAAAACTTACGAAGCCAACAGGTATTTCTGCTAAGGTTGAAAATCTGGTGAGGAGGAGACTTTCTGAAATGCAGGTTCTCCTGAAATGGGATGTATTCTTGTGTCTCATAGATTCATCAGCATATACCATGCTTAGCTTTTATCTTCTGTGATTTGTCCGTAGTCCCTATCTTTTCACCTTTTATACCTTTTGATGCTGCTCCTTATCCATGTTCACTTTCATGTACTTTTTTCCATTCATGCTGCTTGTTCTGTTACCATTTGCTCAGATTTTGAGACCATATTTTTAATAGTAAGCTATGAAAGAGGATCATTGTTCATTGTCCAGTGGTTTCAAATTTCAGTCCTTCCAAGTGTGAAGTACCTCTGGTTATTACTGTTAATACAGAAGTGTCCACTAGCCCTAATTGGATTTAGGGCTTCATTGTAGATGAGGCTTTAGACACCCAAAGAATGAGACCAAGTGTGGAGGAAATATGTATGGTTCACATATGGAGTAGTCAGGATGGTGATTGTCTCCATCACAAGCATTTTATAGGAGAGCCAGCTGTAATAGGAACAGTGTGATGTATTAGAAGTGATGTTGTTACTTTTGGATTGCATGACCCCAGAGCTTGTTTAGCCTATGAACCAGTAGCAAAGTTGAACCATGGAATTCATCTCCATTATCTTAGTTGAGGCAGGAACTGAAAAATCTTTGAATGGGTTTGATATTCAAGTAAATAGAGGACAATCCTACCTATACTCTGGTTATGTTGTGACAAAGCTTTCATTTGCGTCAGTGATGTTTCAGAATGGATCTTTCAAGACTTGGATTTCTTCTGGCAAAACTGTGTACTGTTAAGTAAAGGCTTAATATAATCTTTTAGTTTACATGAGATTTACCTTCAGATTTTATCTGGTGTAAGATTTCATCTGTTAGTGAACACAGAGTAAGTACACAGTTTGTCCTGCTGAAGGCAAAGCCCTAGAGTTGCACCTTGTTGCTTTCCATTCAGTCTACCTGGAATCATCAGTTCCACCTGCTAATTAGCTACAGTACATTTCAGATACTTTCACTGGCTTGCCTTTGCATCATTGCCTTGCCTGTGCCCTCATAGAAGGCTTTTCCAATTTAGGTCCGCTCTAGCTTTCTGCTTTCTTTTTTGCCTTTAACTTTCCCATTCTTCGGCCAAAGGTGCTTGCTGAGTTTCTTCTGTGCAGTTTGCTCAAGGTCATTGTCATCCTCTATGCCAGGTTTTTTCACATTTTCTTTAAAATAGAAGTCTTCTAAAAGGTACCTGAACATTAGTCTTCCCTCTGTATTAGAAAATGGTGATGATCAAGACTTTATAGTCACCCGTTTTTTACCTGGTCTTCCTCTTTCTTATTTAACTGTTTCATATTGTTCATACGTGTGAGACTTGTACTAGCACTTTGTCAAGAACCAGAGCTACATCTACACCAATGGTCTCAACCTTCATAGACTCAAGGCATCCCTTGGAAAGTACTTAATGTAAATTAGTTCTTTGACTACAGAAAAAATAGAGCATTTGTTGTGGTCTTTCTGAGTTCTTTACAACAGAACAAGTGGCAATGTTTTTGACACTGTGGATTCTTAGTTGAAAAAACAAGAATCAGAAAACTGATTTCAGATTTAAAAAGGCTTTGCAAAGGCTGTTTCTACAACAGAAACAAGGTAACAACATGCACTTAAATCTTGTGAACCATGTAACTGTTTACACCCCTAACAGTACTAATATTGCATGGTATCTCACTTCACCCTTTGATGGATCTCGTGGCACTCTGTGAGGATCATTGATCTATACCAGGATGTTCAGCCTGTGGCCCATGGGCCAGATGCGGTCTGTGGAGCCTTGGAATCCAGCCCACATGGCTATCTGTGGGTCAGGAAATTTAGTGGCAGGGGAGCAGTGACAGCTAATACCACCACCACCCCTCCTTTCTACCAAAATATCAAGCCCCACACAATGGGTCACAGCTGGGCCATGTCTCTTCCCCCTGCATGGCCAGGTTGATTCCCAGCCGTGGTACCATTCCTTGGTGCAGCTGCTTTAGAGACGGCCCATGCCCTCCCCCCCTCCACAGGTCTGAGCCATGTCCATCTCCCTCCTGCCTGGCTAAGTTGGAGCTGGTTTGGGGCTGGTCTACACCCCGTTTTCTCTTGCCTAGCTGGGTTGGGGCTGGGCCATGCAAACTTCCAACTTGGGGCTGAAATTGGGGCCTGTCCATGCCCCTTTCTCCCATGTGGCTAGATTGGGGCTGGGCTGCCTCCTCCTCTGCCCCCCTGCATGGCTGGATGGAGCCCTGCTGCACCTGTGGAATGGCCAGGCACAGCCTATTCAGTGAAAAGGTTGAGTGCCACTGATCTACGCTAAGGAAGCTGTAGCTACTTTAACTCTGGTGTTGATGCTATGGCAACTGCATCCTGTGGTGCAGATGCTGCACTGCCAGCAGCTTTTCTGCTGCCAAAACTACATTTGTTTTCATGAACACAGCAGTAGCTCTGCCAGCAGTTACAGTGACACTGCTGTGTGATCTTCTTTTTTTCTCTAGCCAACATAGCTCAATCAGCAGAATTTTGTAATTTAGATAAGGACTGGGTGTGACCTTGATGGTAGAGCAGGGTGATGTCTTTCTTGTGATGCTGGGGATATTTGGGCAATGTTACTGTCAAAAATCCCTTCAGATAAGAATTTCTCCAGTACACTTCAGGAGACCCTTTCAGAATGGCACTGCTTTGCTGTTGCTTTGTCTTCAGGCGAGCCAGTTTGCTCTTCATTAAGGCTATCCAAGAACAGGAACATACTCCTTTATGCTGCAACATTTTTCACTGAATGCCTTTACTTTACCTTGTTTCTGTTGATGCTGTTCCCTTTTCAGAGCTTCTTTTACATCGCTAGACCAGTCTTCTGGAGAATTTTGCATTGTAAAGATTTGGGATTTATTGGAGGAATCTTTGCTGTAGAAAAGGAATTGCTGTGGTTGAGAGACCAATGAATGCCTATCACTGAGACCTGAATCAGAACTTTGTATATGCTAAATGTTTTCCAATGTGAACCACTACAGCTGCTGAAAACATTCTTTAATACAGCTTGATGTGTTGAGTCTACAGTGGAGGCATTGGTAAACTATAACTTTTGTTTTGCTGTTTGCACAATGATATTGTAATGCTGTTTTAGCATTAACCAGTATTTAGTTACCTCTCTGCCCTGTTTTTGCTATGCTTACAGTGTCACTGTTAACTTGATATCTTGTCCTGCTCTGTAAGGGAGAAGCTGCAGTGATGTTGACCACAGTTATTTATACTAATGCCAAGCTTCCCTTTCTGTTTTCTTAATCTTCTACCTG